GTTTAGACTAAATAGCTTAAATCTCATAACATTATACATTTATATATATCATCTTTATTATATTGACCTTTCAGCCTGGCTAACAATACAGAAGTTACAATGACGTGGCTTAGTGCACTCATGTTACCATATCCATTAATATAAGACTGATTTTTAGTCTTTACAAAGTGACCTGTCTTGGCCGTGTTTTAGTAGACTAGTATTTTGTAAGATACAGTCACATTTCAGTTACAATACATTATATATGTATATACATTATTAACAAGTTCTTAAACTTATTTTTCTTAAAACATAGAACAGAAAATAAAGAAGTAAAGCAAACAATTATCTCTTCTGGTTACGACTTTTGTACTCAGTTGCTGCTTGTCGTAGGCTGCTGAGTCTTGTAAAATTTTGCACGTGGAAGATATGAAACGAAATATTTTTTTTTAGGTTTTTATATATACATTTGAATAACTAAAAAATCATAAATTACTATATCAATACCATAGAATTCCATTATAATTTATCAAGCTTAGTAACTAAGCTGTATTTAAAAAATATGAAATTTGGAGCAGACTAAAGGCTCACCTCACCAGATTGAAGATTAGTATCAAAAAAATTTGATGACATCGTAATACTTGAAAATGGCTGAGAAAGCCACTGAAGGGACATTCTGAGCTTTCAATTGGTTATTCACATGTCACAGACAGAAGAAAGTGTATAGAAGTGTGTTTCCAAAAATGGAAAGAGGTAGGTGGAGCCACTGTGTTTGATTCAGTACATGAGCAATATATCAACAAACAGAAAAGATAGGAGGTTCATATTTTATATTCTACCTTGTTAATATTGGTAATTTGACTTCCTAATTCGTACGAAACTATAGACTTTGATATCACAAACATCTAATTTGAACCAGTGCTGCATTTAACATACCACATGACACACACAAAATCGATGTTTAACTGTCTTTTATTAATATTTAGTTTTAATTTAAGAAATTAAATAATGTGTAATACTAAAATTTGAATTATAATCTACAGTTTGATACTAAACTTATTGACATAAATTTATAAAATAGTAGTTCAATAAAACCATACAGAGCCTCATATAGATAGGGATAACAAGCACAAAAAGAACACTTCTAGAAACTCAACTCTAGAAATTGAGTTAACTGTCATATAATAAGTTATTTTGAAACACAAAAAAAATTCAAACATCAGCCTCCGTAAAATCAAATGTTTAAAAATAACCTAAAATATAAACACAGTTCATATATCACTTTTAATGTTTGGAAAGTTGGAAACTCAGAACAGATTTATCTATAGCTTCAGAAGAAAACACTTAAAACCTGCAGCAAGTAGCCCTCTGGCAGTGATTATTGTAGTTCATTTACCTATCAGGAAATGGGACATAGAGCCTCCATATGAAGTGTACAAAGTTACAATCAACCATCTTTCTAAGTCTTCATAACCAAAGAGCTTAAGCAACAAGTACTTGCTTTAAAATAAAAGTTTAGTGTCAAATAAAAGTTACAATCAACCAGTCTTTCTAAGCCTTCATAACCAAAGAGCTTAAGCATCAAGTACTTGCTTTAAAATAAAAGTTTAGTGTCAAATAAAAGTTACAATCAACCAGTCTTTCTAAGCCTTCATAACCAAAGAGCTTAAGCATCAAGTACTTGCTTTAAAATAAAAGTTCAGTGTCAAATAAAAGTTACAATCAACCATCTTTCTAAGTCTTCATAACCAAAGAGCTTAAGCAACAAGTATTTACTTCAAAATAAAAGTTTAGTGTCAAATAAAAGTTACAATTAACCAGTCTACAATATATAGGTGTCCACTACGTTCAACAGAATACGAATACAATTGTTAAAAACAACTCTACAATATATAGGTGTCCACTACGTTCAACAGAATACGAATACAATTGTTAAAAACAACTCTACAATATATAGGTGTCCACTACGTTCAACAGAATACGAATACAATTGTTAAAAACAACTCTACAATATATAGGTGTCCACTATGTTCAACAGAATACGAATACAATTGTTAAAAACAACTCTACAATATGTAGGTGTCCACTATGTTCAACAGAATACAAATACAATTGTTAAAAACAACTCTACAAAATGTAGGTGTCCACTATGTTCAATAGAATATGAACACAATTGTTAAAACCAATTCTACTTAAATCTCAAGACTGCTCCAAAGAATCACCAAACATAGAGGACTCTGCATGTCACTTCTGCACAGAGGATTAATGCTGAGATAAAATGTGGTTGATTTGAAGCATCATGGGAAATGTTTTGAGATATTTCTTTGCAGTTTCATGCATTCTTTTGGGTTTATTACATAGTTAAGTTCTTTGAGATAGATAATAAGAGAAGATACTGAAAAACATTTTAAATTATTTAATCAGTTAATATGCTTGCACACGTATTTTGCAACATCCTTGAACATAATAATAAAATCTAAAGTAAACGTCACTTGTACTATAGTTGTGATGTAAAATAAATATGTAACTTACCTCTTCCTTTAACTTGCTGTTAACCCACACACACTTGAATTGTTTCTTATTTTCTAACTCGTTGATTTTGATACTGAGCTGAAACATTAAAATAAAATAGTTGTATAAATTTGGATGTCTTCTTTTACAACAGAAATGTTCACTTGTTAAACTTGTCTCACTACATAATTTACAAAAACCTTCAAAATAAAAACCACAGCCAACATATTCTATGTTCAATCTCTTGGATATCACTACAGTACTGTTTCTTTACATATACCTGTAATTAGCTCTTCAAGTTAACAAAACCTGAAATTTGACTTACAGTTGTAAATGTTCACCTTTTTAACTAATACAGGCACCAAGAAACAAGGATTTTATTCCTTGCAGAGTAATGTACAAGTAAAGGTTATTTCACTGTTAACCCTCTTGCTATAGGCTCAGTGCAATAGACGAATCACGTGACCCCATCAGTTTCCATACTATAACTTTTAACATGTTTTGTATATCTTCAGAAAATTTGACAAGCTTTTAGCAAACATTACAAGTCATTTGGACATAAAAAATCAGTTTTTTTATTAAGTATTATATACTAAAAATTTCTCCATGAATATGTGGGGTCAGAATGTTGACTGCTCAGATTGCAGAATGATTTTCATATTAAAATTCAAAACAGTTTTCTTTACCTGAAAATTGTCAAATTTCTATTTGCATAATCTCTAAAATCTCCTAAATAAATACCAAACGTTTTTTTAAGTAAAACTTTATATTCTATCCGTTATTTTCTTTATATTAACTATCATATGAGGTCAGTCAAGAAAAAATATGAAATACATCAAAATTGCCCCTTTTTTCTTTCTAGAATGCCAACAAATTGTAACATGAAATTACAGCTGTTTATCCTAAATAGCTTAAAGCTTGTAACAGTATACTTCTGTTTATACTTAAATTTAATTGCTTTATTGCCCTTTGACCAGTGTCTAACTAATAATCCCACCACACAACTTGGCAAACACACTGCTTAAGTTACCGTATTGAATTACATGACACACAAGCATACCCCATGATTACTAAATTGTTTATAAATTTACTTGCATATGTTGATACTGAATGCCCATAAATTGTTGTTAGACAAAAGTCTGTGTGTATGTGTTCACTTATAACTGCTGAACTACAGATTATTGTTAACAATGTTGGCATGTCCCTTAGGTCTCATAGGAGAATAATATTAGGATCAACATTCAAATCTGACCCCTTACATCATTTCCAAAGGCCTTCTATTCCTTCCTCATGCATTGAACGTGTAAGTCAGGTAGATAAACATAAGTTTATAATTATGGCAAGAATTACTTAGCGCCATCTAAATGTCAGAAATGGATTTAATGTGATTTAATTTCTACAGAGACCTAACACTAAAACATAAATAATATCCCTTGTAGGCAAATTTTCCATCAAATTATCTGTAATACAAGTAATCAAGCACTTGAAATGCTTTAACTTCACAGATAACTGATGTCAGTCTGGATATAAACAATAGTACAAACTAGTGAGCTTTAGTGTAATATTTTAACACACTTTCTACCTCACATAGGGTTATTCTTCTTCCAGCATGTTCCACAACCTTCCAACTGCTGTTTGATTAACCCAAGTCAATATTCAGGTTAATCTTCATTGTCTACCTCAATTACAAAGTAACTCCCAGCTAAAGGTGCTCATCGAGTAAAGTTTGAATACAGTTTGAATGGTAATGAAGAAAAAACCATATTATAAGTTTAACACAGTAATAACTAAACAACATTTACATTTGTTACTATGTTAAACTTGTAATATGGTTTTCTTCATTACCCGTTCAAACCGTACTCAAACTTTATTTTCTCGAAGTGGATTCCTCGTCATCAAATTTGTTCACGAAGCAAGTTGCATTCTTCAACTTAGATGCTTCTTAACACTACAGTGTGATAGCCAAAAAAGGATCTATGTCAGTTTACCTGTTGATAGTAAATCTTCTTTGGCTGCCGGGGTTTAAAGGTAACCAGAAGATCCTTTAGAGTTCCTTCATATGTACAACGAAGAGCATTCCCAGGGCCGTCTCTATAGCTACAGGAAGTTCACAAACAAGACAACATTCTTTACAAAGAAAATTTAAACTTAATAGCATGCTTATACAAAAGTTAAAATTATTTAAAACATATAGGATCTACCTACAATTGTTAAAGAACAGTTACACTGAACATGTTTCAACACAAATACTGCTGCTAATTTAGTAGGAAACTACAAATTTGTAATTACCTTCAATAAGAAAGTTTATACAAACCAATATACAACTATTATATATTATAATATATAATACTATTATATTTAGTCTAGTTTCAGTATTATACTAAAATTTTGAAGTTAAAATGATCTTTTCTCTCGAAGTCATAGTTTTATATAACAAACTTATTAATCAGATGATCAACCACACATACTACTGTAGTAAATACATCCAGCCACACATACTACTGTAGTAAATAC